TTTATGGTGGACTCAGCCGAATCTTTTAACTATTTTAACGTGCCAAGACTCGCGCACCGTCTTTCAGACCGGCCTAAACTATAACAATGCCTGAGAGATACAAGGTGGTGCAGCTCCATTCCTCCATGAACCTTTCGAGTTCGTCACTCGCTAATATCCCGCATAATTGGCAGTAGATTGGTAGATTGTGTTTGACCGATGTGGCAGATCAATACGATCTAGTACATCGGGTGCTAGTATTCACGTGACGTATTTTGACCAGGTTGTAAGGAGATTTTTGGATTAAAATTGGTAAGTATATGCACCTATTTTTACTTTAGTATTTATTTTTGAATTAATTATTACCTAAACAAGGTTGTGAAGATAATAGGTAGATTTAGTTTGCGTGTTTGCATTTTTCATTTATGGACTCATTTCTAGAAATGGAGTACGAAAAGGAGCATGCAAGGCTGTTGAATTTATTTGAAGAAGGACAAACTGTAAATAAAAATTGTGGCAGCGTTGAGTAGATTTCAGGTTCGAGTGATACGGAACAAGAGTTTGACAATGATGTTGAGAATTATGAACCTGCTGCCGCCGTTACCAGGGAGCCACATTTTATAGGTAAAGACAACAAAACAATATGAAATAAGCATTTTTCACCACAAAATGTTAGAACACCTTGTAGACATACTGTTTTACAACTGACAGGTATTAAATCAACGCAAAATCCAAAAAATGTCCTCTTGATATTTGGTTGTGCTTGTTTGACGAATAGATGCTAAATACACTCGTTGATTGTACAAATATGAACATTAATAGTATTTCCCAAAATTTCAGAAGAGACAGGGATGTTAGGTCTACCAATATTGTGGAAACAAAAGCTGTAATTGGTCTCCTATACCTTGCTGAAGTACGGAAAGCTAATCATATGAATTTTACTGACCTTTGGAGAACGAATAAAACTGGTGTTGAAGTTTTTCGACTAGGAATGAATAAAATTAGATTCCAGTTTCTAATGAGATGTATTATTAGTGTTACTTGCATTCTGCGTATATCACTATAGACGAAAAGCTTGAAGCGTTTAGGGGAAATTGCAGTTTTAGGCAATATATCCCGAGTAAGCCTTATAAATATGGTATAAAACTTTTTGCACTTTGTGATGCCAAGTTGTTTTACACTAGCCATATAGACGTATATGTGGGCATGCAGCCAGATGGAGCTTTTCAAAGAGAGATAACTGCAAACAGCTTTCTCAGCATATTTACAATAGCAATAGAAACGGCACCACAGATAACTGGTTTACCAGCGTGGAACTTGCCGAAGCTCTGAGAACGACCCGGAAAAACAAAAGGGAGCCTCCTCTGGACTTTATGCAAAATAATGGCTGACCTGTTCGTACTTAGATATTTGGCTTCTGCAATAACACGACACTGGTATCTTACATTCCAAAAAAAAGGCAAAATATGCTGATTATTTCTATAATGCACTATGGAGATGACACCATCCTCCAACTAATAAACTAGAAATGGTTATGACATATAATGAGTTCAAAGGTGGAGTGGACGTGATGGATAAATTATGTACTCAATACAATTGTGCCTACGTTACCAGACGGTGGCCAATGGTACCCTTTTACAGTATGCTAAGTGTAGTTCGTATAAATGCATTTATTGTTTACAATGGAAACAACCCGGATTCAAAAACGTCACGGAAAGAGTTACTTTTAATACTTTCCACGTCACTTATTGGTTGTGTTTACTAATTTACTGAGGACCATAAGAATGAGGTATAGAGAAGTCTCTGGCATTCCGGATGAACAAGAGCCCCTGTGAGAATTGTACGTTATTCGCTGTATGATTGGCAGAAAAACAGGAAAACAGAATTTACTGTCAACTGTGTGCAAAGTATCTGCGCATAGAATACGTACAACGTACATCCAATGTGCAATGCATGCTATGAAAATTTAATTTAGGTGTTTAAATATTACTTTTGCTAGAGTATATCTGTATGTCTTCATAAAATATATGTTATGATATAAGTTTTGTAGCAATTTTACTAGTTAATAAACGTTTTAAAGAACAACATACCTAATAATTTTATTCTAGAAACATAATGTTCCTAAAGAAATATCAAATTAAATAAATACACACGTTACATTTAAGTAAACACCACTAAACTTTCGACACGGTTTCCTGGACAGAGTGCAAATTGCTATGTACTTATGTACTTAAATTTGTCGGGAGTAAAGAAGGGTTAAGTAAACTAAGTTTTGTTTCGTTTGAAGTCACCAAATAGCCCGTTATAAATAGTACCTAACGAAAACGAAAAGCTTCTCCAATAACTATTTTTAAGAGAAGAGCGAGCGGACGGAGCCAAGGCACGATTTTAAGAGAAACAGCAGTAAATAGACAGCTAAAAATGAAATTAAGGTAAGGTAACTTTTATACAAAACTAAACACAAGTAAAGTCGAAGTAAAAATTTTGTTAGTGTTTTTATTATACATTTTGTTTAACCCTCCGTCGGTCGCCTGTGTATCAATGTGATACAAGCACGTTTATTTTCTACGTCATTTGTATTGAAAATCAAAATATTAAATTACTAAACTGTCGGTATCAGTGTCTGAGTGTCAAAAATTGACTTTTATTATGCGTTTTGAAGTACTACTAAGAATTTTACAACCATCATCGTAAAAAATTATTCAATTCTCAGGTTGCTTAAAAATTTACTTAAAAAAAAATCACCTTATAATGGTGAGATTATGAGTCGTTTACTCATATAAACCTGTATAAAAAATAATTATGTAATGTAAAATCAATTCAGGTTGAATGAAACTTATACACTTCACTCTTCATTTTAGTGAAATAATAAAAAACAAACGTCAGCTGTTCTTTCAATTTAGGTAGGACCATCAGCTGGTAGGTATTATATCTGCTGAGCGCGTATTTAATCTTAGCTTAGCGCAACCAAATGTATGATGTAACTGACAACCTTTCAACTGTTTTGCAAAAGTCGACGTTTATTTGTACTTAATACAGTGTTAAAGTAATGTATTCTCCTTACAAGTGACCTTAAATTAATTTAAACCAAAGTTCATGGGTTTAAATAATTTTTCACGATAAACATAATTTTCTTTCAGTACATGGGCCAAATTATGATCATTCCACCTTTATGCAAATAGCTGACATCCATTTTTAATGAACTTAGTGTTTAAAAAATCTATCCTAAAAATTTTAGATAAATTAAAATCAACCTAAGCTAATATTTGTGGTTTCAATTATAACTATAATATATGATTATGGCGAAAGATTTTTTGTAATTGTTTTTTCTTGTAAGTTAAATTCGTGCAGACTTTGATAGATTCTTGCACTATCATAACGTCTACATGTTCACTTCTCTAACATGTAGGAAGAACCAAGAGCAAGCCACCAAGATGTTGATGATACTTCTACGAGCTACAAAAGTGTTGAAAAGGAAGCAATTTCAATTGATGATGGAGTCGGTAAACAGACAGATTTGGTTTGTATTTATTATATATAATAATAAAAAGCGTTAATGGTTCTACTTGCAAGTTAGAGAAGCGAAAATGTAGATGTAGTAATATTACACAAGAAACTATTCATGTTCAATAAGAAACTTAATCTATAAATCATAAAAATGACAAAATTGTTAACTACATCTACCAGATTCACCACGACCCTGACAGCTGTATCTTGACTACCGACTACACGTAAAAATCACGATAAAAAATGCAACGCTGCCTCTCGGACAGATTTTGATTGGGGAGAGCATACCCTATAACGCTATCGTCCAAATTTTTAAAATTTAAATTGAAGTGGTTTCCGATATATTCTAATGGGTGGTCACTGTGATAATCCCTTATATTATTACTATTATTAATTTTAGATCAGAACATTATTACGTACTGGTGATTAAAAACATACTTTAAAAGATTAATAAGAACAAGAGACTAATCGAAACTAGAATTTAATAAAAGGCGTTGGGAAGGATCCAAAAGGTAGTAAATATAACAATAAATATTTTAATGGACGACGTAAATCTTTAACAAATTCTAAATTCGGTGGTTATGTAATAATAAAATATGTAAACGAAACCCCTTAAATAAGTACTTAGGTAGTGAAAAAAGTACTCGATAAACGGTTTTTTAATTACTGATCCGGAGGTTGCTAATACACCCATCCATTCAACGGGTACCAGTTAAATTCAGAGGTTGCCAACATACCCAAATTCCATTTAAAGGGTACTAATTATCCGCAAAAAGTAAAATCGTACAAAAATTTTATATTATGTTTATTTCAATGTGTAACAGATTTAATTATCAAAATGTTTCTTGTGCGATTTATATTAAATATGTCAACTATTTACTTTATTATGTTAAACTTTTGTTTTCCAGATTTAGAGATTGCCAATAAAAGGAAAGTAAGTCGAGGGGGACAATCAAGTAGTTGGTAGTTAATGCAGCTTAAGTGTTCACTTTTAAGCATGTATTGTATGTATTTTTATGTTCTTTATATTTTCGACACTTATGTTAAACTCTCAATATATATAAATATACATCATACATACATACATACATTCAACGAGCATTTTAAAACAAAACTACAATTTTGGGTTTATTTTGTTTCATTTCGAATTGCTAATAGCTTCACAAAATAAAATTTTGCAGAAACATCTCATACAATTTTAAGTTACAAAACTACTTTTTTTTGTGGAAAACTACTTTTTTTCGCTGTATAACTCCCGAAATAACTAATTGTATGAGACATCAGCAAAATGTTGTTTAATCAGGCTGTTAAAAAGTTGCATAGTTCTATGAGTTATTAGTTAGATTTTAGAAAGAAACTTTGTATTGATCTAATTTGTAATATTTAGCGTCTATTTTGTTTCATTGTTAATATTTAACATCTTCACCAAATGACATTTTGCACAGTCTCTTTACAATATTTTTACATTTCACTGTAGGTGTATGAAATTAAAAAGAAACATTGTTATAACTTACTCTTCGTTTTGACGAATATACGGAGTCTAGTACTTTCTGAAAAAAAAACAGAAAACAACGAAATTATTAACAAAATCTCTGATAAATACGCCGTGTTTTTTGTTTATAATGGTAAATATGAATAAGTGTATATAGAATGCAGTGTAAATGTAAACAAATTATTTTAAGTTACCATTAGTATATTTACAAAATTTGAGCACTGTTAATAAACTAAGTGAGTAAATAAATACCGAGGGTGTTTTTGCCCCCGATCACTGGGATAGCTTCGCGGCTCTTTTAAATTCGGATTGACAACTTGCAATAGTTCTCTGCTTCGGATTATTATCTAGAGCGAAAGAAACTTGAAAACGTTCTATGTTATTGAGGGCAAAACGTCGGCAAAAGTCAGATGTGTGGTACAAGCGAGGAATTCTCGGCTTAAAAACCACCATCTTGAGCATTTTTCATGAAGCGCTTAGAAGAATAGCTTGTATGTACCTAATACAATATAAAAATGTGACACTATAAGAAACGAGTGTGAAATGTGCATATTGGCTATGTGATTAAGCTTTTATTCGACATTACACTTAATTTCCTGAAATTATTGAAAAAGTTTTATACTGGCGCAATTAAATTAAAGGCTAATAATTATGAAGGTTTATTCCAATGAAATTAATAAATACGCCCAACTTCATCTGTGGAAAACTATTTCTGCATGACAAAAATAAAAAGAACTACTATAGCCAATAAGCAATTAACTGCTTTTTTTAATGTTAAAAAGCAAAAATAATCACTGACTTGAATTTCAAACTAAACGGTTAATTATTCCTGGCTTGCACTTGACTGTTAGATTTTCTCTTTATATCGAATTGATCTAATGGCTGGTATGCTAAAACAAAAGAAAATGTACGATAAAAGAACATTTGCTTCGAAGTATGCATTTACTTTTAAATAGTACCGTTCACAAATAAATACTTCGCAAGCGAAGTAAATGCTGGAACTTAAAGAAAATGCTATAGTATGGTAATGGTTACTACAGAGAGTGTGGCCGAATAGGCTAACTGCGTATCAAAATTTGGAGTAGATATTTCTATGGAGAAGTAAAAGCCTCCGCATAGTATCTACATTTTGATAAGTAAGTGGAATAGTAAATACTTCATTGGTAAAGTAAGCACTTTAAGCATTAGCAGGTAAAGGTATTTTAAAATGTGGAGCGGACCTTATTGCATATGTATTGCACACTTTATAAATATCGGCTCAACTGTTCTCCGTGTAAAACATAACAAGGAGACGGTCAGTGCTTTTATGAGACGTAGAAATCAATGAACAAGTAGATTTTTATTTCTGCGCAGCCTAATATCGTAATAAGAAGCCAAAGCATTATGTCTAGTAGCAAATTGTTTGTTTGTCTTAGACTTTCGATAACCGCCACTTTTCACATTATCCGTCGATATACGTCTAGTTTGCTATTCGTGCACACCTACGTTGCTAATTCACGCGAAGAACCGGCTTCAGATTACAAATTGTAGTTTTTCTTAGATTAATTTTTTGCCCTTAAACAAACAACTCACCATGCGATTTTTTATTGCATCTAATTTACAGCCTCTAAGGCTCCGCACTTACTTGTACTTCTTATAATATGTATATAAGATGCGGCGTTTACGGTCAACAACAATTAGAGCATAGGTCCTTGATGGCATTTGTAACATAAAATGTTATAAGACATTTGACTTTTGAAACAAATAAAAAATATTAAAAATACTGTAGTTTTTAGAGAATGCAGATAACATGAGTACTATCAATTGTACAAAAATTCAGGGTCAGTAGATCGGAATCGCTTGTCTATTCTCCAATTAGTGTTAGTTAACAGTTATTTTTCAGTTTGTTTAAAGCGGTTGTTATGGTGTTATTTATGTTTTGTTTAAATAAATATGATGTCATAAAAGGTACGTCTCGAATCGAAATTTCTACGCTGAATTTGAAAATCTAAGTAATTTTTTACTACTGAATTTACACAGAAATTACTTAGTTATAAGCCGTTTGACAAAAGCAGATTGAAAATTAATAATTTTATACGTTTCAAAGTATTTTCAAACTACTTTAAATTATTTATTTATTTAATTAGCAGAATGTAATACATAATTATTGTAATATTCTTATTTGCTTAACAACACAACTCCTTAAGTAAATAATAATACTTAAGAAGTTGTATAACTTTTAAAAGTAATGGGAATTGTTGAACGTAGAGCATTTTCTTTTATGAAATTGTCAAATGTGGTGTACGGTTCAGCAAAGAAAAGAATGCACTCGCGATATGTCGGCAATATGGGTTGATTGACAGCAACGAAATCCGCAAGAAATAATACATGTAGCACAGGTTTTACGTGAAAGCTGAAGGACCTGAGTAACGATTTAATTTTATGATTAGAAAGGAAGGATACGATGGTGCAGTTTATTGAAGCATTTACCGAATCACACTAAAGCAACAAATACCTTCGGGAAGATCATTAGTAAACATATTTCCAATTGAAATTACCAATGCTATTCAGAAACCCAGCTATCATTTATCGAAGTTAATGATGGACAGTTTCAATACATTATGAAGGGTATTAAATTACTATTTACTTTTGACATTTTTACAACGCGAAAGTGCATTCGGGCCGTTTCCTAAAAGGTAAATAAACGATAATCGACTAGATGAGCGATATGTACGTTTGGGAAGCAAGTTCCATCATACCACAACAAAAGGATTAGTCGACCAGGTACAGGCTTGTTTTCAAACAAATTATAGGTTCAGTTTACGAAGTTGATTTGTGTGTGCAATTGTCATTGGATTGCAAAATTCTATAACGATTTTGTGTTATATTTTTTGTAGGAAGCCACGTTTTTTTATTTATTATGAACGTCACACCCAGTAGGTATGAAATTTTATCCCAGTCGGTCTACTAATCTTGACATGCCAATTTATAGTTTTATTAGGGTCTTATAGTACTTTTTTCTTTAATTGTTGAAATTCATGAAAAACATGCAAACTATTAACACCAGGAACGTATTGATAAAAAGCTTCTAATATTTGGCTACAGAAAGGAATTATATTTTAGAAAATACTACAAATGGCGCAATAAACACCATCTGTAGTACGATGCTACATTTTAGGATTACGTATGCTCCAACAAGGTTCACTTGTGTGGATATCTACTTGCTAAACACGAATCCCAGCGTAGCCAACCTCAACGTGATAGGCACGTTAGCTTAACCGAATAAAATAATTCGAAGTGGTCTGTATTCTGTCGAAACTGCCAGACGCAGATCGCGATTTCGATCTTTTTGGATCTCATCAGCGCGTCGCAGGCAGTTCCGACAGAACACAGACCAACTTCTACCTGCTGTCTTAACAGTCCGTTTTAGAAAATACTACAACAGGCGCAGTAAACGCCATCTGTAGCACGATGCTACATTTTAGGATTACGTTTTAGGATTTTGGCGTTTACTGCGCCATTTGTAGTATTTTCTAAAACGCACTGTTAAGACAGCACGTAAAAGTTGGTCTGTGTTCTGTCGAAACTGCCTGCTTTGCGCTGATGAGATCCAGAAAGATCGAAATTGCGATCCGTGTATGGCAGTTTCGACAGAATGCAGACCATTTTGAATTATGTTATTCGATGAAGGAATTATATTCTCAGAAATTGAGGGATTCATGATAGCGATTCACGACAAAGTAACAGAAACAAAGAACTATCCCACAGTTTCACCCAACGCATGCCGCGCATGTAACACATCTCGCAAAATAATTAACCATATCACTGGAGGTTGCTCATTTTTAGCTAGCCCACAATACAGGCATAATAATGTTGCTAAACAGATACGCACGCCATTAGCCAAAAAGTTTAAATTCGTAGATCAGATAGAGCCGCACTATAAATACAAATTGTAAAATATACTAGAAAACCACATTGTTCAGCTTTATTAGCATAGAGACATAATTATAATTAATCACTATAAGCTTGACATCACATTTATCGTCAATGAAACCAAAACAACCTCCCTAATAGATGTTACTTTATCCAACACCGAAAATTTTAAACAAAAACGTTGACAAAATTCAAAAATACAGTCTATTTCAATTTGTTAGAATTGTGACCTTGAAGAAATCTGCGCGAACATAGAAAGAGTAAGACAGAAATAGTTGGAACAAGCTTGAACGAGCAGAGCTCTCGATGGGCAGTCTTAGAGCATCGGCTACAACTGTACAGTACTAGACGAAAATGTTTAGCAATTTATTAAACAAAAATGTATATGAATTAACAATAGAAAACAAAGCAAAAGTTTTATAGGTGTGTAGAGCGTTAATTTAACTCACTTGTTATTATTTTTGTCTAAATATGCTTTTAGATAAAGCATATTTTTAAATTTTAACGAGACAGTTTAAATAATTTTGTAAATGGTACTGTACACTTTTGTCTAGTTCTCGCTCGATGATCGGTGTAGAAATAAACTGCGCAGACAAATATGATTGCATTTGGAAATATGCTACGGCGCATCCTAATAAAGGGAAGGGGCATATGTCCAACTTTTTGAAACGAACAGTATACTCTTTACCGAAGGAAAAAAATTAAAGCGGAATCAAAACACAGTTCGAATTATTCTAAATAATTTCATCAATAGACGTTATACTTAAAACATTCGATGCTAACCTAGCTGAGTTGAAGCCGCATAAACTTACGCACCTAAGTGCCGCGATCTGTAAACCTTGATACATGCGGAATAGTACGCAGATTTCTTAACATCACTGATATGTCCCCCTTGTCATACAACAGGTTAAATTAGAAACGGAGTTTTTAATAATCACCGATTACATTTCCGGGCAAGAAGTATTGTTAGATCTATCAAATTTAAGAACAGAAAATTGGTTTCCGTATTATATCCCCAAAGATGTGAGTGAAGTTCTTTGGCATCAGCCCACCTTAACATGTAATTAGCGAACAAAGAAGTTATTTATTATTGGAATTATTACATTATTAGTATTACCAACACAAATCCAACTATATTTGATGAAT